ATTTGCTCATCCCTAGTCATTACAGAAGAAGAACTACGGACAAATGACAAATGAACCCTAGCAGTGGGGTTATTAATATTTGGCTGGCTATTGCAGAGCTGCATTTTTCAAAAGATTGCATACTTATCTAATAAAGGTGACACTTTTTATTAAAGGCAACCAATATAAAACTCGTTGAAACAGGCGAATGTTCTGGGTGAGGTCCTTACCAGATGACGTGTATGTGTGGGAGCAACTGATTGTTAATTCACCAGTCTGATGACACATGCTCTCTGCTAGTCTTGCGTCACTTAGACATTGTAAAAGATGGTAAGAGGAGGCATGTGTATATGTTAATCTATCTAGGGCAGGACCCTTCAAATGGTATTAAATAGTTTTACACACATTATGAGACATCTTCTGTGTTTGGAATATGAGAGGGCGTAATAACAATCCATTGGGTCTGTCTACCGAAAACTTGGGTAGACTGTTGAATGTTTTTGGATTCGATTTTGCAATAGTGAACCTTTCAGGAACATACAATGAACACCACTTTGATAACAATGGGGGTAAGTTGGAGCTTTAAAGGATACCTTTAAAGCTCCAACTTACCCCCATTGTTATCAAAGTGGTGTTCACTTTGATAACAATGGGGGTAAGTTGGAGCTTTAAAGGATACCTTTAGGGGGCGTGTCCTGCTCATGGCGGAGTAAGAAGCAAACGCAGCGAGCTCCGTGGGTTTCATCCTTACACTCCACTTATACCGACTTATACCCCTCTAAGTTGGGTCACACAAGATGTCCAAACGCAGCAAAGAGGACAAGCAAGCCTCACAGCGGGGTACCCCCTCGATGCAGGAGTTTTTCACCTCGACCCGCACCAGGCCCCAAGGCCGAGACCAATCCATCATGGCGTCCGAGCCCCGTCTCCTGCGCACACCTAGAGGCAATGCCCGGTCTCGTTCCCCCACACCGAATGAACTCCGTTCCGGAACACACTCACCCCAGATATACGACTCCGATTCCACGGACGCGGACTCTTACACTTCTCGCAAGCAACCGTCTGACGTCCCGCAGGAGTTCCGGGCCTTGCTGAACTACCTACCCACCAAGGAAGATTTTGCGGCCCTGGTCACTAGAGTGGAGGCGGCTCTTCAGCGAGACCTATCTAAGATGCGACAGGAGATCCAGACGGTATCGACGGAGGTATCCGCGGTGACCACCACGTGTGCGGCCCTGGAAAACAGGGTTCTGGCCTTGGAGCACGCTCATCCGGAGACTTCACCGCACATTGCGGCCCTCCAACTGTTGAGATTTTAGTCCATCATGGGAGTGATCTTGGGGTGGTGGCTACTTTACAACACACACAGGGACCACGGGGAACAAAAGTAGCCACCCTCCAGAAGGTAGGACAGTGTCGGCACCAATTCAGAGATTTGAGGATCTACAGCTGAATGATACACAAATAAGATACATTTTTTGCTAGTTAGGGTATTCAAATGCAATTTTAAGATTTAACTCCTGAGTTTCATGTCACTTTTTAAAGTGAACCATTCCTCTGCCCATGCAGAATGAAGGCAAGGAGTCTGTTGACCTACACCAAGCACCCCTTTCTCTGCCGCTTATACTTGCCTTTTTCCACTTCCATCTCGCTCAGTTCATCCACCCGCACCAGGAAAGTATTTTTTTTAAAACTTCCTAACTAACTTGCCTGAACTTGTACACAGGGCTATGGACTGCTTTCCCAGGCTCCTGGGCCAATCTTGAACCCCTAGACATATGCACACCCGTACCTGAAAGTGCCAGGTATTTCCTCCCTGGTCCTGGCAGCCAAATGGCACTGGAGCTACAAATTTTGAGTTTATGCTACCGGAAAGGAGGCTAGTTAAGTAACCCTTTTCCTTGGACATGCATGCACAAAGGATAGGTTCACTTTTAGTAGGCTTTTATGCAGGCAGCATATTTGATATGAGTATGGGGAAGGTATGAGGTTTCTGCTGAGCTGCCCTTTATTTCCTATGGTCTCTTATGTTTTGGAAAGAGCACCGAAGGCCAATCCAGGACTGCAAGTGTGAGCTTACCTGGGATCCAATATTTCCAAACAATTGACCATGAATTCTGTCCTAGACTTGTGTTCTCTAATTATGAGGATGTGGGCACTGGAAAGTATCAGATCTTACCTTTTTATTGTAGGAGTAATTATTTTTTCCTTTCTGAAAGTTATTTGTACAGAATTAACATTATTTGATACGGTACCACACAAACGCTTGCTACACAAGCTGAGGGCTATGGGCATAGATGAGGTGGTGTGTACGTGGATAGAGAACTGGCTACGGGAACGTGTCCAGAGGGTATCTGTAAATGGCACCTTTTCAGACTGGGCTAGTGTAATGAGCGGTGTGCCTCAGGGTTCTGTGCTGGGTCCCATATTGTTCAACTTATTTATTAATGACATCGGGGAGGGTGTTAACAGCGATATTTCCGTGTTTGCGGATGACGCCAAAATAGGGAGGGTAATAGACAAGGACTTAGACACTATAACATTACAGGAGGACCTGGATAAAATAGGGGAGTGGGCATTAATGTGGCAGATGAGGTTTAATGTCGATAAATGCAAAGTAATGCACTTTGGAATTAAAAATAAACAAATGGGTTATACAATTATGGGTATGCCGCTGGGGAAGTCAGAAATGGAGAAGGATTTGGGGGTCATTGTAGACCACAAACTGAAAGGTAGTTTGCAGTGCCAGGCTGCTGTAAACAAAGCTAGCAGGGTCTTGTCCTGTATTAAAAAGGGGATGTATTGCAGGGACAAGTCTATAATTTTGCCACTTTATAGATCATTGGTATCCTAATAGGTTGGACTTGATGGACTAATGTCTTTATTCAACCTCAAATACTATGTAAGAATTTGCCAAATCTACCTACATGATGGTGATCAGGGCTTGACACCAAGTTCTGCCATGGAGTAAGCTTGCCTTGTTCCCCTCATATGCTAGAAGTTGGGGTGTTTATGGAGGCTCTAGCTGGAGGTAAAAAGATTGTTATAACAAAGATAAAGTCTGGCTCCATATGGTGCCCACAAGCTGCATAGAAAATTTAGGAGCAGGAAGGGTAACACCATAATGAGCATGTAACACCACATTCCCACTGAAACCTGGAACATTTGCTTATACGCAAGAACTTGTGAATCATTTGTTGGTATTGTATTCCTATTATGTGTTTTTGTTTTTTTTTATGTTTGAGCGTTTGATAAATGTTAAAATCCAATCAAAAAAATCTTACAGGTTTGGTTGGCAGCTGTAGCTTTTCTTGCATATGTATATGTTGTTGTTTTTTCATGTAGAGTTTTTACCCACCATCCTCCTCTGTGAGGAGGTGGTTGCTGGAGCTGATTGTGTGCTTTCACGATGCTAGATTTCAGTCTAAAAATACCCACTGACTTCATTCTGCAGTCCCACTGTTCTGCTCTGGTACAAGTTAATAGCACACGTGGGAGATGTCCTCCTGGTACCTTATTCTCTGCGCTAGGAAGCTTCCATCTTAGAATGACCACGTTGTGACGCCTTGTCCATAATGCTGCTATACATGAACGCAAGGAGATCTGTAATCCATAACAAGTAAAAATAATTAATTTTGAATTCATTCAGTGTCTCTTCATTAGCAGAAATTAAAATGGTTTCTTCGAGTAACTGGACCACCATTGCCTTTTGCATTGCCTTACCTAATAAGCCTGATCTTTTTTTGACAGAGCAATGCAGTAGACACCGGTATTCTCAATTACATCTTAAAGGATAAGTTTATTTATTTATTGCAGGTATAGCGCTGACAATTTTACGCAGCACTTCACATACGTGTGCACATTTTACATCAGTCCCTGCCCTCAAGGAGCTTACAATCTAAGGTCCCTATTTCACTGACATACATACAGGGCCAATTTAGACAGGAGCCAATTAACCTGCCAGCATGTCTTTTGGGGTGCGGGAAGATGCAACTCCTTGTAGATAGTGACCTGGCCGGGATTCGAATCAGGGACCCCCAGCAAGGCAGAACCTTACCTTTTCTGACCATGTTTCATGGTAAATCCATAGGGTGTAACTGGATTGCTAAATTACCTTTTTGAATGCAGTGTGGCGGTGTATGGATCTGCAAACATAGCTGCATCATCCATTGAAAGGATCTGTGAATGTAGAATCTGCGAGCCCCATCAGCCACCGCAGCAGAGGGACTTAAAGTTATCAACGGAATACGACTGCAGTGACGTCACCGTACCTTTTAGTCCATTGACATTTCTTCCTGTCCATGTTGCTGAATGTCCGTACCTTGGTACAGACATGGATGGGAGGTCTGCAGAAGCCAGAGCACTGCACGCACGATCAACTGATTGTGGTTGCAATGCTTTACCGGCACCTATGGGCGAAAAAATCAAATGTTGTTGTTTTTTATTATTTTTTCCAAGAGCCGAGGTTTCCCTTTTAAGCTTTTAGTATTTGCATTACAGCAGGCATTGCACTGCTCCTTTTTTTTATGTCTTCAAAGAGGCAGAAGAAAATGATAAATGTACAGAGAATGGGAAATTAAAGTTTTTCTGCTATCGGCTGTCCAAGGAAGCCGGGCCATTAGTGTGGGGGGAGAAGTCATTTGTCACAGTAGACCGTGCTCTCCTCCCCACAGCGCTCGTTCAGCCTCCTGTGACAGCGAGTCAGGATGGAGAGCGGGTACAAGCAATCAGTGATCGCTGAGTGTTTGTAAATAATTGAGGACAGAGTATGCAGCCATTGTTGAAGTGAGTGCAGATAAATAGGAAGTGACTGCAGGAGATCAGTAGCACTTAGATGCAGCAAAAAATAAAAAAGTTGGCAATGGTTTAGGATACACAGTGCTTTAGCAAATTCAATGTTTTTAGTTAGTTTACATCTACTTTAATATGATGTATTATGGTGTCTTCGGCTTCAGGATTCAATAGAGTAGTTTTGTTTCTTACATATTTTATATACATATATTTTGTATTCTTTTGTTTAGGATTGGACAGTGCCACTCCGTCTTCACCGAGCTGCTCTACCGGAACAACCCCCAGTACCACAAAAACATCTAGCCGAAATGCAGCGCCATCTGCTGGGGAGAAGGATGAGGGCAACAAGAAGAAGGTTCGGAGGCAGTGGGAGTCTTGGAGCACGGAGGACAAAAACACTTTCTTCGAGGCCCTTTATGAAGTGAGTGCCGTTTTTTTCCTCTACTCTCGTCTAAAATTCTCAGTGTCTTTTTCTTCTCCTAAATGGTATGTAAAGGAATTTCATTACCTTTTTATTAAGTTGCATGGAATTGTATTTATTTTCTTTTCCCCTCTTGGTTATCAGTTCACTCTCCCTTTACTTGGACTTTACAACTCTGAGCTTTCACATTTGTGCTCCCCACAGCCCCCTTAAAGCTGAACTCCAAGCACAAACACTTTAATTGAAATACATTCTTCAATAGCCGCAAAGGATATGAATCCACTTAGTTTGCAAAGGCATTTGGTGCACACAGAGATATTAATTTGTAACAATTGTGATGACATCTAGTACTCTAAATAATAATTATTTTCATAATTGCTTAGTTGGCGATTTATTTTTTTGATCGGATAAAAAAAATTAAATACTATCCTTCATTTAAAATAAAATACACAAATGCAGTGTTACAAGCTTAAAGTTTTCTTCAGAATAGAACTGCATGCATCATTTTTTGCAATCGCACTGCACTGGAACGCACAGCATTTCGGTACTGTGCCTTCCAGTGCGGGTGATCACAATGTGGGTGGGAGGCGCGTTAGGGGTTCCTTTTGAAGTGAATGGCACTGCAATTTGTCAGGCCGAAACCAAAAATAACTTTTTCCCACTTTTTTTATCATTTAAAAAAAAAAAATTGTATTGTAAGCACATGTGGCTTAAATAGCTTCAGCCAGGGAACGGCAGCTGAATGTAAATACAGCAGGTAGAAGGCTGGTGCAATAGCCAGCCTGCTATTGGCAATTTCAAATTGCAATAGTCAATAGCAGGCTGGCTATTGCACCCACTCACTGTTTGCTGTGCCCTCTTCCCAGCATGGAGGAGAGAGAGCTAGGGGATCCAACCAATTAATCTATAATGAGAATAATTGACAACCATTATTATTATCGATCAGTCAATTCGTTGGTTGCAGCCCTAATGACATCATCACTGTGCTGTACAAAGCCTGTGCAGAGAGCATAGCTGTGGGAGGGGCCCAGCAGGCTCCACCCACCACAGGCTGCCTGCAGAAAACTACAGGAGGGGCGGAGACGAGACCAGTCACCCTACACAAACAGACAGAGCAGCAGTGACCGGTCTTTATTACAGGAAGCTCCAAGTTTCACACTGGCTTACTGCACAGGTCAGGTAATACAAGATTCAAGGAAGACTACATACAACTCCTGTATTTAGACAACATTTGCTTATGCTGGAGTTCAGCTTTAAAACATTTTGTGCCACATTTTTATTTTTCTTCACAAGATCCAATATAGAAGATCAGAGGGAAAAAAACAGTCTAAATAATTATTTTCCCTTTTTATGTCTTGAGTAAGCTCTTGGGTAAGGAAAACACAGGCGGCTGTCTGCAGAAGCACCGATGACCACACACTGGCCAACCACAGGCTCTACATGGCCCCCTTATTGGGCATAGGGTTGTATACCCTTGATTTTTTTTGTTTTTTCCTTATCTACTATTTTATAGAGTACTGATGTTAAACCATCATGTATCTCATTTTCCTGTTCTTGTCTGAGCAGAGTTATAGTTCCTTTTGATCTCACTTTGGTATAATTGTGTTGTCATAGCCCACATACAGTTAGTGGTCACTTTTTAAAGCTCTGCAGAGCGATGGAACCATATTAATAATGGTTGCTGAAGCTAGTCATTGTATTGTAGCAGTATGTGGTTCAGGCAAACTCACTTATGCATCTGTTTTTTTTCTTCTTCAGCATGGGAAGGATTTTGAAGCCATTCAGAACAACATCGCACTCAAGTACAAGAAGAAAGCTAAGCCAGTCAGCATGGTAAAGAATAAGGAGCAGGTCCGCCACTTCTACTACAGAACGTGGCACAAGATCTCCAAATACATCGACTTCAACAATGGTGGGTCTCTTCGATTGACAGGGATTTAATTTTTTATTTTTTCTCGTACCTTAATCACCTTTTTGACTTTCTTTTCTCAGGTCTGTTATGTTTAAAGGGAACCTTTGCATGAGTACAGCAACAGGTTCGCTTTAAAGCCTCCCTGTCAGTAAAATAAAAATTGTCAATTTGACATACCTGTAAAAGAAGACTGCAATTACCTTCCTTTCCCACTGCCCAGCTCCGCTCAATAGCAATCCTCCTCTGGAGTCCAAAGGGAAACACTGAAGTTTATCAGTCTATAATTTCCATGTTTGTAATTCCTTTTCAAATAGATTTTTTTCTAATTTTGGCAAAATATAACACCATAAAAAAGGTCAACATTACATAGCCCATAACAAGATACTGCGAGTGCAAAAATAAAATGAGAGCTGAGAACCAATACACATACATAATAAACGAATGCATTCAAACAGGATAAATGTAATACTGGGTCTATGCCCGAATTGACTTACTCGAGACGGTATCTGTCTGTTCAGGGCCAATAGAAGGTTAGCCAACTGTATACAACCCACACACAGTGCTAATAATGGGCCAAGAGCAGAAAATACAACATTAAAGTGATGCAAAGTAGGAAAAATGCAAGAGAATAGGAGCTACACATTCAATTTTTGTAATTTAAAAACATATCTTGCTTTAGTTTTGAAGGCCATTGATTATAACTATTACAGGATTTATATAGCGCCAACAGTTTGCACAGCGCTTTACAATATAAGGAGGACATTACAATCACAATACAAGACAAGATGTTACTATTAGATATTATTATTATTATTATTATTATTATTATTAATACACTTTAATAATAATAAAAATGTCAGCCATGTTATAGTTGTCTTTCTAGCTCCTTCCACTCTGACCAAAAAAGTCAGTATATAATACATGTGTCTTGAATATCAATGTTTTATTTTACAGTATTTTCTTGTGGTCTTAAGAAGTCATCACAGGAGCTTTATGGCCTCATCTGTTACGGGGAACTGCGGAAAAAAATTGGGGGATGTAAGTTTTTTGTTTTTTTTAAATGAGAATATGATCATTATGAAGTCATTGTAAAGTATTGCAGGCAGCTTAATGACCATAATCGGTTGAATAAGCTTTTAGATACCGTTCCCTGTACTGATCGAACGTTTATTGATGCTTCATCTGTAAACCAGTATTGTGAACCTGTGTGCGGTCATAGTTCTGAGAATGTGTTGTCCCTGACGGCCACAAATCTCTGACTATAGATCAGAATCAATCAGTTGATGATCTTGTGATTGCTGTGACATCCAATCATGGCAAATACATGCAGGATGGACAATGGTCATGAAGATTGATAAAGAAGCTTCTCTATCCTGCAAATGTCTCTCACTCTCTCACTCTCACACTCTCACTCACTCACTCTCTCTCTCACATATACTAAAAGTTACTTGGCACACACTATGGGTTACATGGTAAATATTTATCAAGTGGTATGTCAGATGATAACCGTAAGTACAGTTGAGAAGCTGTGCTTTTATATAGATACAATGTACTAGTCACACCACTAGTTAGTATATTTGTCTAATGTTTCTTTCTTTGTAGGCATGGATGATAAGAACGCTGCCAAGCTGAATGAGCTGATACAGTTAGGGTGGGTATAAAATGTTTCATGGTATGATATATGACTGCTTCCGTTGTCCCTTGTGCAGTGCATACATTCAGTCTGGGTACTGACACTGTCCTTAGGGCTTTTTGGTTGGTTTCTTAACCTCCCTGGCGGTATTCCCCAGTGTGATTCGGGGTCAATTTCCATTGCCAAAAGCGGCAACCCCGAGCCACACTCGGGATTACAAAGCGCGCTACTTACCTTGTCCACGATCCCCGCTGTGTCTTTCAGCCGATGCCAGCATCCATCTTCCGGGTTCTGTCCCTTTTGGAGCGTCCGCGTCGCAGGGGGGCGGAACCAGCGGGAAATTTAAAAGTAAAAAAACTGAAAACAGAAAAATAAATAGAAACAAGAAATGAAATTATCAGACCGCCAGGGAGGCTAAAGGCCAAAAGATTTTGTAGGGGCTAAGCAACAAGTTCACCTAAAGTGTTTCTCCAGCCGAAAATTGTTTTTCTACTTTGCATTCCTCAAAGATTCCTTCTATATGTGTGTCCAAGTAAAGCTTCCTCAAATTCTACCATTTGTTACCTGCTGATCCTGCCACTATTTCTGTTGACCCCACTTCCTGTAGAGCATTGTCAATACTGCTGATTAAACTTCAGCAGAGTTGTAACCATCACTCTCCTGCTTATCCTCTAAGGCAGGGGTAGCCAAACTTCGGCCCCCTTGCTGTGGTGAACTTACAAATCCCATTGTGCATCTGCCTCTGGAAGTCATGCCTGTGGCTGTTACTCTTACAATGTCTAATAGGATTTGTAGTGAACACCATAGCTAGAGGACCAAAGTTTGGCTGCTCTTAGGAATACAGGACTGTGAAGGTATGCTAGGTTTTTCCACTAATGTTCAGATATTGTCACTGTGAAGGTAGCACCCCCAACATCTACATCTGCAGAGCACGTTCTGCTGCCTCTGTTCTGGCAATAGAGAGTATGTTGTGGTGTAGGGGCTGTTGAGCAGCGTAGTCCAGAACAGGAGGAGGATGTCACCTAGGGTTTCATGCCCTGAACCCCTGCTGCATAGGAAATGACCAGAGCCAAAGCATTCAAGCAACCACAAGGAAAGCCTTCTTAAGGTATTACTATTTACCTTTTGAATTTTGCATAAATGCTTGTAAAGGACTGTAGTATGATCCATTCCCCACACTGTTATATGTGCAACTTGTTGCCTTGATATGTAGGCATGATTATTTATCTGACTAAGCTTGTAATAAGGGTCAGTGGCAAATGCAATGGTTACTGAGAATTTACATATATGTATTTTACTAGTTCTGAAACTTCATGTGCTGAACATTCTTGCACCAATGTTTTTACTCTATTAACAAGTGCAATCAATTTTTGAAGCCCAATCTCAGTGTTGCTTTAAATTGCACCTTAATCAGCCTTGAGGTTAAAGATCATTTTAAAGGAAGATTGGTTGCAGAAGGTCAATATGCTCATGCATTGCTTTGTGCTGCATGTTGGAACTTTCCCAGGTATGGGTCTCCCACACTGCTAGCTGTCAGATCAGGCTGTCACTGACTGCTCTGCTCCCTGCTAATCATCAGTAACTGATCAGCGTGGTAGCCAATCATCTGATCACTATGACAGTAGATTCGCATGAGGTTGAATAGTAAACAAAGCTCCTGGTTCTAGCTATCAAGCTATTTGTTTCTGTGTGCACTCAAAAAAAAAAAAAACATTTTTTAAAGGAGAGGACAGTGTTTAGAAAAAATAAATAAAATATGTCACTACAGGACACAGCAGTGACATAGGGGTCAAAGGACTGAACCATGGTACACAACAGGAGCACAGGCATTTGACAGTCCCAGAAGTGTGGAATGATGAGGACTCTGCCCATGCTGCAGTATCAGAATGGAGGGAAGGCAGGTAACACAGGCCAGCAGAGAGATGAGTACAAGAGCTCTTCTATTGCAGGGATCTGCCATTTAGCATTTTTTTTTTTTTTAAAGACTTGACAGCATCACTTTAACTTGGTAATATCCCTTTGCACTCTGTAACAATGTACCCCAGAATCCAAAGGGTGCTGGAACAACTGGTGGATGGCGCCACAGCATACAACCTAGAAGTGTTATCATCTTTATTCATATTCCTTTAGCATGACATGGATGCAACGTTTCAGAGCCTCACAGTGCCCCTTCATCAGGCAAGGGTACATGAAGGGGCCCTTTGAGGCACATAAACGTTGCATCCAAATGTCATGCTAAAGGAATACAAATAAAGATGATATTCTGAAGCAGAATGGAATGCGGAAAAAATATCTTCTAGGGCAGCGGTTCTCAACCTGTGGGTCGTGACCTCGTCGGGGGTCGAATTACGATTTGCCGGAGGTTGCCCGGGAGTCTCCCGCTATTAGATAGCAGCTACCGGCCGCCCGAGAGAGATAAAAAAAAAAAAAATTATTCTGACGGCGTACGCCAGTGGTTCTCAACATGTGGGTCGCTGTGTGATTTCTGCTGTGCTAGGTTAGAGTCCTCCTCAGTCCTCTCCTAACGCAGCAGTGTCAGTTCTCCTGCCACGCCGCCAGATGTCGCTGCAGCAGCCGTGTCATCCCTAAATTTACCGTTGGGGGTCACCACAACTTGGCAAATGTTACCAAGGGGTCCCGGCCCTAGAAAGGTTGAGAACCACTGTTCTAGGATCACTTTAACTGACACTTCAAAATTTTGTCTGAGCTTCTAGGGGCTTAATTGGTTAAACAGGGACTTTTGTATCATATGAAATGTCATGTGATCTATATTCGTTTATTAATTCACTTGTATCATATATCCAATTAGCCCAAAATTAAATACAGTAAGGTTCAATAATAAACCCTCTGAAAATGGTGCTATTTGACTGTTTCCATTTTTTATGTATCCTCTATTGGTATACATGCTATTAAGTGTTCAGTCTGTTGCCTGCAATATTGATAGGACATATGGATATTTTTAGTACACAATTTGTGTGTTTTCATCTATTGATTTTTGAATATCTTTTCACAGAGCAACCACTGTGCGGTACAAGGGAAGGAACTTGCGGATTAAGGCTCCTATGTGCCGAGCGTTGAAGAAGCTTTGTGATCCTGAAGGGAAGACAGGTAATACTAACTAAATCTAAAGCCAAAGTGTTGCCTGAATACAGAGAATGCAGCTATTTATGTGTGGGGGCGAATAGTCAGTTCACAGTGGCGTGATCCAAGCCCTCCTTTATTATGAATTTATATTAATAAAGCAATGTGAGTAGGGCTGCAGCTAACGATTATTTTCATAATCGATTAGTTGGCCGATTATTAAGTTCGATTAATCAGTTCGATTAATCGGATAAGTTATTCCACCACTATATCCCCGCACACCTGTTCCACACTGCAGCTCCGTACACCTATTCCACCACTGACTTGCTTTCAGAAGGTGGACCCTCGATCGTCAGCGGGCCAGCGACGGGTGAGGGAGATCGCGCCGAGGAGAGCAGCGGCGTGCGCGGCTTCATCGTGCGGTGGGCGTGGCTTACGCTGCCTGTGCCGTGGGCACGGCGGCCGCAGCGGGAGCAGCGTGTGACGTGTGGCTCAGGCCGCATGTGGAGCCCCGAACAGGCAAATCAATCGATAGCCGACGAATCGACGATCGAAAACGTTGCCAACGTTTTCAATCATCGATTTTAATCGACTAAATCGATTAACTGTTGCAGCTCTAAATGTGAGCAGGCCAGTGTGAGAATAAAGTTTAACCTGTGCTTCAGGTTAAACCCTACATGCCAAAGTGGACCGTTCTTATTTACCTTATTTACTTTATTTCCTGTAACAGCCTTTGTTAAACTCTGTGCCGACAGCATGCTAGAGGTCTGGACCGCTGCTCTTGCATAGAATGTGGGAGTTCGGATCTCCAGCACTACAACACCTCCTCCTAAACATTGCTCCAGTCCGTGCTGCTCAGGGAATATGACTGTTGATTGGATGACTGTAACTGGGACTGTGTATGGGTTTTGTTGGTCTGCTGGTGATCCAAACCTCTGTTCCATGTGTAAGAGCCGCAGTCTGCATCCCCAGTGTGCTGTTAGTACACTATTGCATTAAAAAAAAAAATAATAACACATCTTTACATTTTCAGCAACCTGACTGCATCACAATAATAAAACAACAAGGTTCACTTGGGTTGATGTCCTGCTTAAGAGTGGCATTACCTTTTATTAGCCAGAAAGCCTTTTCTGTGCCCATTTTGGATTTGGCTGCAGGTTTATACTGGGGCTTGATGTAACTAAATTCCACCCACTGCCGTCCCCTGTCCAATGAAAGTGCCCTTACTGGCTTCTAAGGGAGTCTCATTGGACAGTGGAAAAGCAGTTGGTGGAGCTTAGAAATTGGAGAATATTGGACCCCAGTTTTCGTAAGACATAAAGCTTCTTTTAATAAATGTTTTTTTCAGGGAACCATAAAATGATGAGATTAATTTGCGTCTGTTGTTTTTGTGAGTGGTAAGATGCAATTGATATGATCACATAAGATGGAATTGATATTGTAATGTTATCATTTTTCAGGACTGAGTGATGAAGAGGATCAGAAACCAGTGCGATTGCCTCTGAAGGTACCTGTGGAACTTCAGCCAAGGAGTAACCAAGCCTGGGCACGTGTACAGAGCCTGGCCCAGAACCCACGCCTTAGGTATGAGAATGTGGAATTAAGAAATTTATAACAGTCACTGACATTGTTCTTTTGCAGCAGACAACATGGCTGAATCCAGGTTTTTCCTGAGCACCTTCACTGTGATTTGTCCTTTTATAGAAAGACTTAGGACTCAAATTTGAGGATTGTGTTTTCTCTTGTTAACTTCATTAATATACGATGCAGAAGTCAGGGTTGTAATCCTTTTTTCCCCTCACATCCCCCCTACCCAACAATATAAGTAGAAGCAAGTAGACATTTTAAAACTTAAGAAGCCAAGTATCATCCCTAACCCTTTTTGAAATATTTTTTTTGCTTATGCTATGAGAATGGAAAATGTATCAAATATAAAATAGGTGTTATCCTGATTTGGGTACGAAAGTGGAAATACATTTTAACGCAACTCTGTTACAAAACTGGCAATAAATGATTTGCCCATAAAAAGAAAATAAATATAGTACTTCTTTTGCTGCCTATGTTTCCGAGTCCTGATCCATTGGAGAGAAATAGCCAAATGAGGTCTCTTCAGAAACCGACATCTATTGATGCCCCGTTGTGCTCAAAGGTTCCACCTGCTGACTAAACATCTATTCATGACATATTGGGAACTGTTTTTACTGCTCCTGCTAGTATTAAACAGTTCATGTTAAAGACAACCTTCCCTATGCAAGTTATCAACTCCTTCATTTGGAGCCACTGACCTCTTACCTACTGTTTTGGTTTACCACCCCTTAGACTGTATGCTTCAATAGACTGGAATGCATGGCATTGCGGTACTGCATGCTCCCGTGCAAGCAATCAAACTATGGGCGGGAGGTGTGTTTGGGGGGCCATTCAAATGAATGGCAACACAATGCACCTCCTGCACCAGTACAAACAGTAGGTGCAATGTGTGGTAGTTTGTGATTAAAACACTGACATACAACCAGCCAGACACAATCCCACACACTCAGACATTCACACTCCCCAAAAATGTTTAGGGGGTTCAGTGTGGGCTGCTGTGCTGTGACTGAGCACCATCCATATGTGCATTGTTTGTACTGCATCCTTGCAGTCCCTGTAGAGGTTCCGGGAGCCAGAATGTGATGTCACTCCGGTCACGCAAGGGAGCTGTAAGCAATGCACGTATGGATAGAGCTCCCTCAAGGCCATACCCCCAGCCCTCCCCACCTCAATCTGACACTTGGCACCTGGCAGCATATTTTGAATGGCTGCTCAGCACAAAAACTGACAGTGCTGTGCTATGGGAGAGGCTGAGGAGCCTCTCACCTAGTGCACCGGAAGGCATGCGGCGACCTACTTTTGAGAACCATGGTTCCATAGGAAAGAGCCTCTTCTTCCCCTGTATCGTGTCTTTGTGTTTTTACTTTGTCTGAAGTTTGTACTCTACACCTATTTACGGTTGTAAAATGCTACATATTATGATGGTGCTTTCCAAGTTAAAGATAACAATTAAAGTGATAATAAGCCTAATATTTTTTTTCTTGTTATATTTAACATTGACAGAGGTACTTTTAATTGCCGTTTTTTTTTTCTTTATACTTTTTAATTCCCTCGTTGTCTATGTATCCCTGAACCGCTACTCCCACCCTGTGCGGGTGACTCCATCAGCTAGCCGGCTACTGAGGAGACATCTGTGTGTGCTGGCTCCTGCCTGTGGCTACACCTAGCTGTGTGCATCCATAGACACACACAGCGAGCTGCAAGCCACGCCCCCCCGCTCACACATTTACAATTTGACTGATGGCAGAAGCAGCCTAGGGCTCCTCTGCCCTCAGTACCTTCCCCCAGGACCAAGAAGTTCAAAGAATGCCGAGTATCTTCCTGGTTCCGGTGGAGGAGACAAGTGGCTGCAGTAAGTGTGGTAGGGGACGGGGGTCATAAGAAGGTACTTGGTGTTTTTTACTTCAATGCAAAGAATGCATTAAAGTAGTATTAAGTCTGCGCTCGTCCCCGCCGCCGGTCCCGAAGTGATCCTCCGTCCCCCGAACTTCCGGGTTGCAGGGGAGGATACTGATGGCATAGGAGCCACAGGCTCCTTCTGCCATCAATCAAAGAAGGAAAGGGGTGTGGCCTGCCACAGGGCTGTGTGTGTCTATGGACTCACACAGCCGATGCGGGCGCACGGGTGCTGGCCACCCGTGCAGGGGGCGGGGGGAAGAGCATGGCGGGGACACACTAGAAAACGAGGAAAGAAGTCCTTTTTTAAAAAAAAACAGCCTCCGGCAAAGGAGGGTCTCCTTAAAGGAGAAATGAAAAAAAAAATTGGCTTTAATATCACTTTAAGGTAAAAAAAAACACCAAGTCTTCATTGCTACTTTAATATCCAGGCTCATAATACATCTTTAAAAAAATCTCGTCTCAGTGTGTCTTTGTACTCCTGGATTAACTGTTGTCTCCTTCCATTACCAGGATGATAGTGGAGCTGCACAGAAAAGTCTCCAGTCTCATAGAGTTCCTGAAGCAGAAGTGGGCACTACAGGAGGTCCGCGTTGTATCCTTTCAACATCTTATTCATCAGGCCTATTCATTTGCTTGGTGTTCTGTTTTGATTTCTAAAGAACAGCTATCAGTATTTCACCCCTAGAAATACATACGTGTATGATGCTGTATAGCAGGCCCTCCACTAGTAGTTTGTTAAATCTTGACAAGATCCTGGACTACCATATAGAAATCTATTTCTCTGAATAATGGAGCATACAGCAGAGCAAAACTCTGGGGTAAAAGCACACACTCCTAGAAGAATAAACACTAAGCAAGAATAGAAGGGCATTCCCTTCCCATTGTGAGTTATGCCCTTCGCTACAGAAAGTTAGAGCATCCTCAGTTTCTGCAATATATGTCTAATTTACTTCTAATTTGAAGTAAACTTGTCATAAACCTGGGAAATTCAAACTGAAAATATAACAAAAATGACTAAAGTATATCTAAACCCTAACTAAATGACATTTAGTTTTTCTAAAGCACTGAGTATCATAAACATTCGCCACATATTCCCTTTTAGAAAGAACAGTTTTCAGTTTTTTAATTCTTTGTTGCATCTCAATGCTACTGAACTCCTGCAGCCTCTTTGTAGCCACTTCTGGTCTGCATGCACTCCAGGAGTGACCGCATAACATTTCTCAGGGTAGGTTTCCTAATGGTAACAAAAGGGGACCGTGTCTGTGCAATGAGCTTCAGCAAGGCCACTTGTAGCCTCCATCAGAAGCCCAGATGACAAGGCGACAATGCAGAAAAGCGATTTAAGAGACAGTTTTGTCGCCCTATGACAGGAAGTGCCTGAACAAGGACCCCAATGGTAGGATTGCCAGGTATTATTTCAATGAAAGCTGCAGATTTAAAAATATTGAAAATAATTTTGAAGTTATACAACTATGTTAACGATTATAAGAGATTTTATTGATTGGGATTTGGTTAGGGATATACCGATACTAGTATCAGTGCCAATGCCGAGTATTTGGGCGAGTGCTTGCCAAAATGCTCCGACGCCTAGCCCGGTACTTGAGCTTCCGGTATCAGGAAGCCGGGCAGCAAGTCATTACACGCTGCCCGGCTTCCTGATTGGCCGGGAAGCCGGCTCCATGCCCCCTCAACACTTGTGACGAGGAAGACTGGAGCCGGCTTCCCGGCCAATAAGAAAGCTGGGCAGCGTGTCATTACATGCCCCCCGGCTTTCTGATTGGCCAGAAAGCCGGCTTCGCGCTCCCTCGTCACCTGATGAGGGAGCATGGAGCTGGCTTCCCGACCAATCGGGCAGTCATTACACGCCACCTGGCATCCTTAATGGGACTTTTGGTATCGGTACTCGGTGCATCCCTAGTTTAGATCTACCTTAAGCAAAGGTTACATTCAGTGAAAGCTCCATGTTAAAACAGAGAAACTGAAATTGCTGTAACCTACATTCTCCCACTCCTTAGACCCTCCCTATTAGTCATTGGGTCCTCTAGTCAAATTAAAACCAGTGGAGAGGGTGGGTAAGAAGATGGAGGCGCTGGGATTAAGCAGAACTTTTACTGGATATCTTTTAAGAATTGCTTTTTGCCTTTATTCGCTTTTCTGCTAGTTTCAACATATATGCTCAACTTTTATCATGTGCTTACTAGGAATCTGCTAGGTTTCTGACGGATTTACTTACAAAGTTTTACTTTTAATAAATTTGCCTGGGTATCGATATAACGATTAAGATCTTCCTGTTGGGAAATGGATTGCCAGTGGCTGTCAGTTGCATTTATTGTCAGTTTCCTTTACTAACTTCCTCAGAGGAAATCCCTAGAGGATCCGCAGCTGGCAGAGGTGGAGGACTCCAAAGAGGACTTGTACCTCTTTCCACCTGAATCTGCACAGTTGTCTCCTTTACCAGGTGTGGCTAGGGTGGTCCACTCTAAAGCTTACTGTACCGTCCACTGGCAAGAGTCTGGCAAGTGCAAACAAAGCTCCAAGGATGCTCTCCTGCCACCTGCACAGATTTTAGGTATTCAGACTGGACAAGGGACAGTGCGGGTGCAGCTGAAGTGCCCACGTGGTAGCATTGACACTAAACAAGCAAACAAAATGGAAACGGCAAGCAATGCAACAGCAGACAGGACTGCAACAATAGAGAATGGACCTGGAGAGAACATGGTTTGCGAAGGGGTGGCAGATGGTCCAAAGACCCCTGACGAAGCCCCTCCAGAAAACATGGATACATCAGCCAATCCAGACACACCTAGTGAAGCTCCTGGCTGTGAGCTGCCAATTGTGGATGAACTGTCGATAAGTGACCCTTTTCCCCGTTACCTGAAGTCTTGCCAAGACCTCATTGTTCCAGAAGGTAGCCCTTCAGCAGCAAATGCTGTGATAAGCCCCCCCATATCTCCCAGTACAAACCCCAAAATCTCTGGCCAGGTAGCTTCTCCCAGCCAGGAAAAAGCTGATGTTCAGACTGCAAACCCTCAGCCGGAGAATTGCACTACACAACCTTCAGGAACGGACTCTCAGGTGAAGGAGCAGAGTGGTTCATCCAAAGCTCCCAAAGACAACTCTAACCAGCTCACTGAGCAGCTGCGTCAGGAGGGCTGGAACCAACGCACTTCAGAAAACCTGACACTAGCCGAGGTCTACCTCATGTTGGGAAAGCCGGGCAAGTTACAGCTTGAGTATGAGTGGATGGATCCCAACAATTCTGATGATCCTGAATGCCCACTACGCCACAAACAGAGACTTCTCAATTGTCTTTTAAGACTCATTGCTACAGAAGTGAACCCTAAAACTGTAAGTAATGGATTTTTTTTCTTAGTTTGTCCTGTGTTTGGGCTTTGTACAGAGAGGTGCAGATTTAAGAAATGCTTTTTTAAAGCTTATTTAGAGCGAAGTTAAATGCATCTGGAAGCATGAAATAATTTTATGGCTGAACGCACACCTAGACGTTCAACAGTGTCTAGGTGCTTTCATTCTAGCTGCTTTTACAGTAACAAGAAATGTGTGTTCAGAGACCATTAAGCGTATTATTTTGCAGCTAAATGCAGGTAAACGCAAAATAGATTTAAATGCCAGAGAAATTGATCTGGGAAGTAAAAATGTGTTTATACTTCCCAGATCAATTCTGTGTTAAACACTGGAGGCCCATGTGCTCGAGGCCTAACTCTGATTAATGTTCTCCCCTAATGTGTGTTTTTACATGTGTTTTTTAAGGGCCTATAAGATATAATTTTGTTTTAATTAGGGATGCACTGATACTAGTATTTGGGCGAGTACTCGACCAAATGCTCAGATACCTTTCCCGATACTGGATCTTCCGGTCAGCGAGAGATTTCCTCTGACCGGCAGTGCCGCGAGGAAACATGGAGCCAGGAAGCTGGCTCCGCGCCGTTTGCCTGACCAATCGGCAACTAGCCGGGCAAACAAATATGATAATATGGTGACACGACCCCCACCTTGCAGACAAATCATTCCCCTCACATAGATCCTCAGCAACAGTCATTACCGTACCAGTTCCTTGGCCAGCTGGGCAGACAGCGCTTTCCAAGCTCTCCCGGTCTGCCCACGTCTCCTGTGTGCACAGTGCCAGCCCTGCCTGCTTGATGTCTGAATGAGAGCTCTGGGCAGTCTGCGCATGTGCAGTAGCAGGCTTGGGGCTGATCACGTAGGCGCTGTACACACAGGAGATGTGGGCAGATCCGGGAGAGCTTGGAGAGCGGTGTCTGCCCAGCTGGCCGAGGGATATCTGTGGTACGGTGATGAATGCTGCTGAGGATTGATGTGAGGGGAATGAGGTGTCTGCAGGGTGGAGGTTGTGTCACCATATTGTCATATCTGTTTGGCCGGCCTCGATGCCGATTGGCTGGGAAGCCTGCTTCCCGGCCAGTCAGCAAGGAGTCGGCTTCCCGGGCAATCAAGAAGCCGGGGGGTGGGTAATGACATGCCGCCTGACTCCCTAATTGCCCGGGAAGCCGGCTCTATGCTACCAGAAGTACCGGTATCGGCGAGTACTGAAATATAAATATCTGCACTCGTACTCGATACCGAAAAACCGGTATCGGTGCATCCCTAGTTTTAATGCTTTAATTGTATCAGACAAATTACAGCATTACACAGGGACACACTGCCATCTTCAGGCTTCGGTGGCTTTTGCACGCTGACACCGTTGACTTTCCCAGCAACTGAGGTAAACTTTCAGCGTCTGGTTATACTGCCACTTCAGAAGGATTGGACACTGGCAAACATAAGAACTGCAGGCCAGCCCAGGATAACCCCTCCTTACTACCAGTATGCCTCAGTTTTCTACTAGTATCCCAGGAAGATGGACACCTTTTTCTTCAGCTCTGCTGTGTAAAATCTAACCTATTTTTGGTAGCACCTTTTTTCTTAATCTGTTACTGCTATAATGTTAAAAGCTAGGAAGGCTAGATAATGCAAGGTCTATCATCAGTTGTGAAAGCTATACTTCACTTGGTGTGAGTCTTAGGGTTTCCAGCCCTAGAGTTTCTTCTTGGAACAAATCCTCTCCTTCCTGCAGCCGGGTCTTGCCCAATATTTTGGTTTCTTCCATTCCTCTGCCTCGTGCTAGTTCACCCAAAGGAAATTTTCCTCCATTGCCTGGGTATGGTTTGGGCTATGGCACTCTATCTCTCAGCTACTGCATTTTTTCCAGGAAGACTAATTCCTCTTGCTTCTTTTTCCACCATCTTTAGGTGGCTCAGGCAGACCAATATCCATGCATATGATCTCAATCTGGTTCAGCCCTTTCCTTTCAAGGTGCACTCAACTAGATCTGTTAGTGCTTCTTGGGCTTTTCAACATCGAGCAACTTTCTCAAATTTGCAAGGCTGCCCCCTAGTCTTTTGTTCACACATTCTCTAAATCCTCACAGGTGGATGCTGAGGCCTCAGCTGATGTCAGCTTTGGGTGCAAGGTCCTTCAGTCAACTCTCTGAGCTTCAGGTAGTTCCCAGTTCTCTGTTGCTTTCTTGGGCCTGTTGGTGTTTTTTTTTTTGCTGCATTGCCCACCCCTCGGTTGACTTCTTTTGGACATCCTGAAGATTAAAGACTTAGCCTATGCCTCAATGGAAGAGAAAGAAAATAGGATTTTTGTAATGTCTTGAAAACCTTTTCTTGGAGTCCATTAAGAGACACAGGTCCCACCTCCTCTGTGTTTATGATCATAGTTTCTGGAATGCTTTGCTGCCAAACTGAGGCATGCTGGAAGTAGAAGAGGTTATACTGGGCTGGTCTACAGTTTTTTATGTTTGTGTTTCCTCAGTGAAGACTTTATCTTGTTTGCTGTTGACCGGTGACCACTCTGTTTTAGGTTCCAAGTCATTAGTGTGGATCAGAGCTGTTAGTGACAGCCAGGTCTGACAGCTAGCAGCCAGCTTGGCAGGTACCCGTCAAAGGAAGGATGTTTAGGAACATATCCTTGACACAAGGGATCGTGCTAAGGAACATTATTATAATGAATTTGGATTGTGGCATAAAGGTGTTGGGCACCAAACAAACATTTGGTTGCTGAATGGTATCAAAGAGCACAGTGGGTGACCAGGTGATCAGCACTACCGGAAGCGTCTGTTCTTCAGGTGGCAAGTTCTCTTCAGTAGAGCGACGTTTCATGACGCAAGCAGTGGGAGAGGTAAGTATTTTTGTAAATGTTCTTTATAGGGAATCGTATTGCCCACATTTAGATTTGAGTGAGTTCCTGGTGCTGTAAAGTAATGGTAGACTATTCCACTGGTTTACTTTTCCTGAAGAGGATCCTTGGATGACCCAGCTGATGGACAACCAATAGAAGGTGTCTTTATCACCCCAGTTTGTGACGTAGAAAGGGCCCTTTTCTGCAGGGAAGAAGATAGAGGACCTGTGTGCAGCATGTAACCAAGGATTTTGGTAAGTAAAAGGAGGTTTTAGCTATGTCCGGAGGTCAGCTTTTAAATAATCTATTTTGAAAACATTGAAGTAGTCTATTAATATGCAAAGAGGGGGAGAACTGTAAGAATTCTTCTTAGTTGACATTCAAAGGAAGTTGCATGTTTTCTAAGTAAATGTTTTGCCTGTTTTTAGTCCTCGCAGACACCAGAAACAACCTCTGTTGCCACTTCCCTTATGAAGCAGCCAGTTCAGGAACAGACCCTCACTCCACCTGGTAAGGTCATCACCCTGCTGTCTCGAAACCCTGACTGTCTGAGGACGCAGCCTGCACACATCCACACAACGTTCTCTCCGCCTTCTAATACCTCAGGTGAGGGGAATACTTGGTAATATAAGGCCCCATGCACATGGCAAAGACAATACATGCGTCCTGGTGCGTTTGAAGCTCCTTTATTAATGCTTTTCTATGATTTGAATGCACACCTAGGCGTTCAGCAGCATCTTGGTTCAATCAGTCCAGAAGCGCTTACCCAAACTAGACATTTGTGTCCTGGGTCAATTTATCCCAGTTTTACGCAGCTAAACATGCCTAAACTTTTGTGTAAACACGACTAAGCCCAGGAACAGCTAAACCTTTGAAAAAGTGATCTGGGAAGCCTAAAGTTACCATATAACTTCTTGTGCTTAAACGGAGGTGGCTTGTGTGCATGAGGTCTGAGTTATAAACTGCACAAATTGAAGCTGTTCATGCAACTCTGTATTAGTAAATGGGGTGAAAGGCTCAACGAATTTGCCTATGTGATGTTAGGGTGGCCACAATGTCTGATTTGGGTTCTGATTTTATTTAGCAGATCAGACAATCCAATAGGCAAGGACCTACAAATGCAGCCCGTTTAAATTATATCCAGTCAGGTAGACTCTTGCACTGCTCAGTTGTTGGCAAACTGTATTAATTTGACAGGGCATGTATAAAACCATATCTGATCTTGTATGGCCATTATGAAAGTTTTGTGAGCTGCTTGGTTTGCTGCAAGTCATATTTTATCTTTTGCATAACGTAATTTTAAGTTGCTCAAAGTATTAGATTGTTTCCAATCCAGGAGCTGTTAGTGTGTAAAGTCACCTTCAGTTGAAGCTAGTGAATCTTTGAGGCGCTGAGGGCTCTCTTTCATCAGGTCCTGGCAAATGGTGTAGAAGAGAAAAATATACTGAAGTGATGAATATGGAGTGATACAAAAGGGTGATTTCAGTGGAACAAAACAAAAGGACTTGGCCCAGACACAGTTTTTGGTAGCAAGTAAAAACCTTTGTGGGCTCTGGATTTATGCCCCTTAAGCCCCAAAAATGTCTTAACTTTAATTGTGACTTTTATTAAACTAGTTTTTAGGCTTTAAGCAGCATTTTTGGCACTTTCCTCCTTTCACCCCTAGCCTTTTACTAATGGCTAAGTAATCTTATTGTGGTACAATCAAGTGTGAGTGCATTTACCAATTATATATGGCTGATATATGCTTTTTCCTGCAGGTTTCAGGAATTTATCTCGTCCCCTTGTCTTCGGTGGTCCCTTGGGGTCTGTAACAACCAGCAGCGATGGGGCAGTTTTTGCTGTTCCCACCATGCTGCCCCCTAACAGTCGGCACACTAAGATCTCTTCCCCAAGCAAAGATACTGAGGTGACAGGCCGCCAGCAATTGGATGCTATCAGTGTGAGTACCAAATAAATATGAAGGTGACAGGGATGCAAATATATACATTTTTTAAATTTTATGTGTGGAGTGCCTTTTACAGGGGGAAAAAAACGTACTTTAAGGCCCTGTTCACACCTTTACGTTTTGTTGCGTTTTCAACGCTCTATGAACGCTCTACAAAACGTACAAACTTGAAAATCCCATTGTTTTCTATGGGTATGGTTCACACCTTTCCGTATTTCAGCGCGTCTGAAGAAGTACATGTACTTCTTTGGGGCGTTTTGGTCTCGCATTTCCATTGGGATACAGCCAAGTAGCCCTCGGAAACGCGCGTTTGGCACGTGTTTTTTTTACCGCGCATCGCGGTAAAAACGCGCGACAAACGCGCATATTCAATACGCCTAGGTGTGAACCCACCCTAAGGGGGGATTGACAAGCAACTTTCCAACACTACCAAGCACCAATCTATTATAGATCATTCTGCATTTCAGTTGAAAAGGATTTGCGACCACTTTTGTGTTTGTTGGCAGCCTGTGGTTAAGATGCAGAGAATTATCACTGTTCCAAGCTAATGTAAGGACACATGCCTCTGGAACTCAAAGTGGCGGCCTAAAAGGACCTGACCACACTTCATAAACTCAAAAGAAAAGCAGAAATTTGCACACCGATGTCCGATCTCCGATCTCATCCAAGTTTATTAAACACGACCATGGCGTACTGCAGCCCTGCCTGAGACCATCCCTTTTTAATGCATTTCACCCAACGTGTACTTGATCTGAGATTAAGCCTCTTATAGGTAAAATACGTTGGTGGCAGACCCAGCAATGTACCATGTTCTGGGAACCCCATTTCATCTCTTATCTTTTGATGGCAAATAATATTTTTACTGAGTATAATATTTTTACTGAGTCTTGGAGAATCATTATTCCAGATAAATTTAAGAAGTTCCCTAGTAATTAGTCCATTCAAATGGGTTTGATCGTATTCATTAGTGTCTTTGTTGGAGAGCCTCTGACTATTGTTGGTTTATTATGTACCATGACACTTGGCCAAATTCTTTGATTTCTTTGGTGAGATTTGGAAGGGAAATTATAGGGTTTGTTATGTAGAAGATCTAATCTTCTGTTTATGCGGTGACTTTGTGGTGGTTGTTTCCAATCACTGGGCCTTGAATATCTGGATAGGAATACTTGTTAAAGATCGTTTTTGTAGAAATAATGAGGAGAGCAAGTTATATTTTAGCATTTTCACACATTTTCGATGCATTTAAAAGGCAATACAGTGTTGCCTGAAGCTTTCAGAACCACTTGTGAAACAGTTTCATCTTTTTGTAGTCTGGTCTGCAAGGAAACGCTTGAGGCAATACCTTGTGAGCATTTGGATCATGTTTGCGGAATGCTGCTATTGGCTTGAATTGCTGTACTTGCCAAGCTTTGCAAGTTGCCAATGCCTGCCAAATGTTGCAAGAAATATTAAAATCAATGCAAACACACCATGAATTGTATGTGTGTACTAGACCGTTCTTTGTGTTAAAGGTAAGGCATTGGTTTTGAAAGTGTTTGTGGAGCTTCAATAATGCAAAGCAAATGCGGGTGAACGAGGCCTCTGTGCCCAACACTTTCTACCATAGTAGCTGTAACTAAACAGCATGGTGACCTTGCGAGTGGGGTATTTGGGAACATTTGAGATTGTTTTGGGGCTTGTTCACTGTGCCTGTTTCCAGATAGTGTGAAGGAAGAAGGTATGACTGAAAAATCTCCCAGAAATGCAAAAAGAGGGACAACCCACTAGATACTACTAATGGAACTGTTGATCACTTACCTTTGCTTCATTCACTCCTGCAAAATTTGAAACCCAAAGGTTATTCCCACATCACATCACTTTGCATTCCGCAAAGATTCCTGTTGGTAGTGAGAATTTGCAAGTGACCAGATCGCTTGAAAATGCAGAGGATACACATAACTGATTTGTATATGTCGCTCCCTCACTGGCTTCAGTATCAAGGCGTCAGGCGACCTTGCAGGCAAAGTCTGGGTCTACAGAGAGTGCCACCTTGGTCTGCTAGTTGGCGAGAATGCAATACTTGTAAGCAGGTGAGTGTTTTTCCTCCCTGCTGTGTCCTCCAAAACGATTCTGGCCAGTTTTCCAGCAACAGGATTGCCAGTGTGACATTGCCCTTAGTGTTAATGTTGTTAATGGAAGAAGACGTCTGGAGTGACAGCCTGTTGTTGATTGGCTGAAATTCTGTGGCTGTCTGCAGCTTTTTTATTTTTTTGTCTTAACATTGCAGTTGTGTTTTTTCTTTCAAAGATCACAAATCAAATCTGTCTTTTCTCCCTTCAGTCTGATTTCTTCTTGCCGAAGCCCAAGAAACAGAGGAGCAGGCATCTTCGGAAACCTTTAGTTGTCCAGGTAAGATTCTGCACTGGGGCTCCACTTTGCTCATAAAATCGAGACATTTTGATCATAAAATAGAGGAAAGCTGATTGTTCTTGTGAATGACTAGAGCAAATAAATGCAGTACTGCTGTGGCAAGATTTATAAAAAGGCTGGCCTACCCAAGACCCTTTGTCAACTGGCTTCCAAGGCCAAATGCAGGGTGCTTTGACATCAGCTTGAGCTGCTCCTGTGATAAGAGTGTATTGCAGGTGCGTTTGACCTGCATTTGCGTTCCCATAGACTTGTATGGGTAGAGAAGCAGTTCTGAAGTAAGTACAAGCCTAGGGCTGACCCTAAAGCTGATAATACAGGCAGTTATAAAAAAAAAAATGAACTTAGTTATGCACTTATTAATAATTAGGTGCCTGTTCACACTTATGATATGCATGAGCACATTGTTTCCCATAGGGGAGGAGCGGTAACCAGGCTGTACTGCTTAAGTGCTGCAGAATAAAAAGTCAGGTGACTAATCTGTCTCCCCTGTGTACACGTCTAACAGTTTTGGCAGACACAAAAAATTAATTTAGGATTTTCATACACTTTTAACACAAATCCCCAATCTCGAGGAAGTAAGGCACCTTTAACCAGGTTTCCAGCCGATGCTGCTGTACCTCGAAAAATTCTATATTGCTGACTGTGATGTTGATCCAGTTACTTTAATATTTTTTCAGTCTACCTTTCTAATTTATAAACATGCTGAGATGCAAGAGGTATGAAGGCAGAGATAACCATGAAGGTAACATAGGAGGTCATCATTGCAATCCCCTGTGTCTGTCTTATGCATAATTGTCGGGATCCGCTTCAGCTGCGGCGTCTCAGTATACCGCGAGCAGCAGCTTGCGGTATACTGCGGCGTCTCAGTATACCACGAGCTACTGCTCGCGGTTTACTGAGCAGGGGGTGACGGGAGGACGCTAGTTTGTGTCCTCCCGTTACCCTAAGGAGAACTATGGGGAAAAGCCTTAACCCCATAGTTCTCCTTTAACACAGTCCATGTTGTTAAATGTGGGGTCATGTCAGGGGATGTCTTTTGCCATCACACCAACCTCCAGACAGGAACCAGCTGTTGTGATCTTAACTGACTCAGACCTAATATCAGTAGGTTGTCATGGTAACTGCTATATTCTGGTCAAGCCACTAAATTATCCTATGAGTTCTTCAGGTGCTACAGTGAACGCTCAGTCTATCTAAAGCTCTGTGCAGACGTTAACCACTAGACATTCATTCTGACCTTTTTCTTTCACAGAGAACACTCCTCCCACGGCCGTCTGGCAGCTCCTTGCCGCATGTCTGCTCCTTTTCAATCCTCTCAAATTCAACAGTAGCAGGTAATTTCAAGTGGTGACTGTAATACTTATCCTGGAAACATAATCAAACTCATTCCGCAAAGATAAACTGTGCACATCTAAAGACAGACATGAATATTAGACCGCAGTTTGGTCATACATACAGATGACTTCTGTCAAATATTTGCTTTGTTTAGGCTAATTCACACCATATGCATTGGGGCTGCTCTGGTCGTTGTTTCAGTACAGCTCCAATGCAAGACAAGGAAATTTGCCTTGTCACGGAATAGCTCAGTTCACACCACCACGTTGCAACGGGAACCCGATGGTATGCACTGGCATGTTGTACCTTTTTTTTTTTTTTTTTTTCAGTGCAGCGGAATGTGACATGGAATAACCGCTTTGCACCTGTCTGTGTCCCTAGAACTGAATGAAATGTGACCAAATAAAAAGTACCTGGTGCATCATCACTGTGTCCGGCAACTCACATCAGACAATGTGCATTTAGTGCAGCGGCTGGTGTGAATTGGCCCTAAATGAACCACTTGGAGACATGCATGCAAGTCTTGCACAATTATTCCTGTTTAGGAGAGTGGACACAGAAATCCAGACCAGACAATAGCAATTATGGACAGAGACTCAATTGGCTGGTATGGGTTTCCGTGTCTAAAGGAGACAGTCAAGGTTGAACTGTGACATCCAGAAACAGCTTGAGAAAAAACACCCTATAAATGTAAGATGAGGGAGTGGGCACCAAAATGGAGAGAAGACAAAAGGATATAATTGTTATTCTTACTTTCCCGGCAAGTGCTCTTATTAATAAATTCACAAACAAATGTGTGGCTGCCTGGTCTTTGAGTAGACTGCGGTTTCAGATGAAATCCATTCCTGGGATGTTAGCTACTGTATTTTAAGGTCAAGTCAATTGCTCATATTAGTTACAGTAGGTCACCAGCTAAAAAGTCGTGCGTTTTAGGATTTCTTTAGACATTGCCCTTTCTGTGTGAAAATATATTGTGTAGATTGTATGCTGTGATTTGAAGATAGCTAAGACGTGTTCCTGCTATATTTAGGTGATAAGTGTAACTATAATTGCAGACTGCTCTGTCTCCCCCATCCAAATCCCCTGACTTCTCATGACAGCTAGCAGTAAAATGTAAACCTTTGCCAAGCGGTAACACTGTTGGCTGCTTGGTCTGCCTAGGCCTATGCCAGTGTTGAAAGGCCTCTGCACTGACATTGTATTTAGCTTGTGGCTTGCACATGCATAAGGCATTGGTAGGAATATCTGTCCTTGGTGCCAATCACATCCATTGGTTTCTGTGACTGCCTTCAGGGTCTGTTCAAGTTTATCTGTATAACTCTGCAGACTACACACGCTGACGTATATTAGAGCGGAGACCTGTAAACACTGAAGCAGGCCTAGGTAACCCAAGCAGTGTGTCTTCATCAGATGTATGATATAAAGTGTGTGTGCATTTTGGTCTGGGGGGCATTATGTGAACCTGTTGCTTTGCCATAAGACATAATTGCACATGAAATTTTGTTTAGTCTCTTGCCTTTTGGTTTGGTCCATGTAATGTGTAATTTTTACTTGCAGGAAGAGGCTCCTTCAGGCCAATCCACTCCACCCTTGGTAAAGCTGTCTCCCAGCCGATTGTTCCCAAAGGGTTGGCAGCCTCAACTAGCAATACCAGTGCTCTAGCAAGTGAGTATTTTGGATGATGTATATATTGCGCTGTCAGATGTAGTCAGGATGCTGTATATATTGCGCTGTCATTGTTTCCCAAATTGTGGTTGGCCATGTGCCCATATTGATAATATTACAGTACTCCCTGTAATCCTAATGTTCACAGTTTTGTAGTGGGGTTTTTGCAGGACACAAATTGATTTTTCTTTGCGGCTGTTACATTTCCTTTTTTTTTTAACTAAAAAGTTGTATATTTGAGCTTTCTCTGCAAAAAAATACACTTCAATCTCTTCATAGCATCAGCTGTCTGTTCCCTGGGGTGTCTAGTGCCATGAATACTCGGCCCCTCCAAAATGTTCATTTGAGCACATAAAAACAGACACTTCTAGCATGTTCTTCAGTTCCTCTTGCTGTCACTGGTGACTAGCCATTAGATGGAGTGTGTACTGATAATTGACAGCTGCTTGGCATTGAGCACATTTATTTGCATCATTGGGCAATATTAATCTCTTATTTATTTTGCACATGCCTTGCCATGTACCCCTGGTGGTATGCAGCCCACACTTTAAGAAATAGATACTGTAGCTCACAGCATGTTGGTACAAGGTTAATTATATTTCAGATTGTTTAGCCCTGTATTAAACATAATGTTCTGCCCTCTTTTCAGGTGCTATTGACTTAGCTGCTAAAAGTGCTGGAATTATCCCAGGCACTTCATTACCAGTTCTCGAAACCGATGGCTTAGTAGGCATTGGTCCTTTGCCCTCAGAGGGTTTGACTGGAACGGTGGCAGACCACAATGTAGAGGGTACAAGTGGGGACCCTATACCAGCAGTGACTGTGTGCCCTGAGGTGAGCATAACCCATTTTACGTTCTATTTCCCAATTTTAATCATGCCAAAATTTTTCTTGAGCTTTGTTGTTATATGACTAAAATAGCATTGCGTTTTTTTTCCCTCAGGTTCCTTTCATTGCTCTTACTACACCTCCAGTACAAGAATCAGCCCAGCCATTTCAGGTATTTCCTCCTTCTTGTATAGCAGTAACTGACATTTAAAGTGACCCCTTTCTATCTCATTTTGATATCCAATCTAACAGTACTTATGCATTGAAGTTTGTTTTAAAGGAGAACTATGAGATGAGTGATTTCCACTCGCCTCATAGTTCTAGCCGACCTGTGACAATGAGACTGTCACAGGTCGGCTCAGTAGATCGGGAGGTGAGCGAACACATACCAGGTTCGCTCACCTCTCGATCCTGTCACGGCTCTCTGCCGTGACGGAGAGGGGCTGGATTCCCCTCTTCCCCGCTCCGATCTGCCAGCGCTGACTGGCGGAACGGACAGGGGAGGGGGCGGGTACAGCTGGCTCTGCCTCTAGATAGGCAGATCCAGCTGTCACTCATGCAGCTGGGCGGATCCCGTCATCTACGTCGGGATCCGCTGCGGCGTCTCAGTATACCGCGAGCTGTAGCTCGCGGTATACTGAGCTTAGGGAAACAGGAGGACGCTAGTTTGTGTCCTCCCGTTACCCTAAGGAGAACTAATGGGGAAAAACACTGACCCCATAGTTCTCCTTTTAAGCTCTTTTATTGAATTTTCTCTCCTGTCACAGCTATATAGCAAGTGTGCAAAAGGCTCTTTTACTTTCCCAGATTCATGCAGATTTGTATTCATGATGAATTCAATTAAGAAATTGATTTTTGTACTTGCCATCTGTAATCCGCTGTACAGCAGCCCAGATTAGGAGAGGGAGGGGCAGCACTAAAGACACATCAGAAATGCTACGTGCAGATGTCCCGATGAGGGATGTGCTGATTAGGGGGGTTAAGGCATGAGCTTATCATTGGGCTTCCAGTTCTTCATTGTCAAAGGATGGAGAGGTGACCAATCTGCTTAACTGCAGTAGAGAAAATCAGGTCTCCAAGCTGGCTGCACTGTCTGTCAGGACTCTCCAAATCCCAGGACTAGATGGGTAGACATAGAAATCATTTAGTGCATAAGACCACATATATTTATTTCAGCAGTGTATTTTGTTGTTTGCCAGGAATACAGATTTCATTACAAAGCATGACATTTTATAATGACCCAAAGTAACTTACTGTAAGAATTTTTTTTTTAAAGTTTTGCACCTCAATTTATAGATATTTGAAGAATGTCACCAGCACACCAATTTCTTGACAGTGAATGAATAGTCAATTATTGACGTATGCTGTCTCCCATTCTGCAATCGCTTTCGGGACCTGTTGAAGGCGAAGTCCGAAAGCGCTTGAAAAACTAGAGACGGCATATGTCAATAAATGACTATTCATTTGCTGTAAAGAAATTGGTGTGCTGGTGACATTCTTCAAATATCTATATGCTGGCTGCGCCAACCGTAGTAACTTTGAGCACTCACCTGCATATCTGCATGGGAATCCTGTTAAGGAGTGCAGCAAGGAACTTCTTTTCTATTCAAATTACAGAAAGGAACCATCTTAAGTTCCCCTGAAACTAATTTTTGGGATTAAACAAGTGAGTTGATTGATCTCATAAATGGCTACCTAGACCTAAAATACTGCTCTTTGATGGATTTAGCCTTTAATGTTAATCTGTCTTTAAAACATGCAAAGTGAGAGCACTTAAATACAAGCCCTGCATAGATGGCAGGATAGCAGGACAATTATGCCAAAATGGGGGCTCAGTAGCTCCAGGATCACACCAGGAATGACTTGGACAAAACTAAAGGCACATACAGGGGCCTTGCAATGCCTTCATTTTGACGCTGATGTTACTTTTGCTCTTTTCCAAATCTGTGACGGGTTCCCTTTAAACTGTACTCAAGAGTTCCGCTATGCATTAACGTGTTTCATATGTATTGCAAAGGGCATAATATACTATTAAGCTAGTTGCAAAGTTTACAAAATTGGTATTAAACGCAGTGATCTGTGTCAAAGCCTTCATTTTTTATGTGACGTCTCTTTCAGCCATCATCCATCTTGTCCTTACCTCACATTTCCCAGAGTCCTCTAGAGAATGGCCCTCCAGAGCCATCCAATTGCACGCCCAGTAGCTCCTGTCTGTCACCCCCAAATGTCTCTGCTTTGTTGGATATCTCCCTGCCTGGCCCTCCTGATGATGTCCTTTCACACGGCGAACCTGCAACACACATCAGTGATTCCATCATTGAGATAGCCATAAGCTCTGGACAGTACGGTGAGTTCACAGGTCTGCAATAATAGTTATGGATAGTTTTGTTATGGTATAGCTTAGTTGCAATAGAAAGTGTGTTTGAATAGATCTTTGCAGTAAAGTCATTTATCCAGGTCATGGTATAGCTAGTCACAATTACCTGGACTTGTTCTGTAACATTGAAGACGTTTCATAGCTTATCCAAGCCACTTCTTCAGTTAGAGTGAATGTCGGGAACATATTCCAGCATTTATATCCCCGCAGGTAGCTCAGATACCTTAATCCAATCACCTTGGAAAGGCAGATGTTGATTGTCCAAGAACAGGGTGGGAGATTTGAAAGTCACGGCGCTACCCTGTTCTAGTTGCATAATTCCATGCTTTGTGTCAGGAAAGTAGCACACCTAAAATAAAACATAATTATTATAAGTTTCTAATGCAGACGTTATTTTTCAAGGGGAAGCTGTGCCCCTGTCACCGGCCAAGCTAGGTGAGAACTCGAAGAGTCTTCCTTCCCCGTCCTCCAGTCCTCAACAGAGCTGGATCGCCTCCCCCAGCCATGACCCTCAGTGGTATCCCAATGACTCCACGGACTCCTCGCTCAGCAGCTTATTCTGTGAGTACAAGCGCATATATGGAGTACAAGCACATATTTGCATTTAGCGCTATATGTTACCATTCTTATACTTACCCTGGCACTTTCCCTGCTCGAGCAGCAAGCTTCATTTCTCCAGACAAGAGTAAGAAGATGGCTCCGTCCGCCACAGGAAACGCCAGTGGCACATCTCTGCTGGGCCCCAGTTTACTAGATGGAAGTTCTAGAGATTCCTTTGTGTCCCGTTCTCTGTCGGATGTTGTTGAGGTTTGTACATTTGAAAGTGTCATCTCTTCAAACTTGCATAAAAAGTGATTTTACATGTAAACAAAACATTAATCGTGTTATAACTGCTATTGTATAAACCTGTTGCCTTAAGAGGATAATGGAGACGGCCATTGTTGACCTCCTAAAAATGCAAGTTGCTGGACTTTTACTGTGAAACAAGTATGCAGATTAGAAAATCGGAGTAGAGTCAGAAGTCCTTAATTGCAAACATGTTCTAAGTTGATGACCAAAAGTATAAATGTCAGACAGACCAGTATGACTCTACACATGAATCTGACCACTTCCGGGTTCAGACGGCCATATCCCGGCCGGATGTGGCTGTGTAAACAGCAGATCAGGGGCTCTCTGTCTCTGTTTGGGCAGAGTGCAGAGGAGGCATTGGGGATCTAACAGAATAGACCCCCTGATGCCTCCATGAGGAATATCTGTCATGCCAAATATACTTTCACATAGGGGGTTGTCTTCCCCATTGGAACAGCAATAATGTTTCATTATGTTAAAAAAAATTGGAATGTGTTACAAAAATAACATAAAATATGTTTATTGCGACACAGAGCGAAAATAATAATTTTATGGTCATCATTTACTGTCCTTTAAAAAAGAGGAAGAGAAGCTAGAGGATTAAAGCACGGTGTCTCACTTTTGAATAACCAGATATCATTTCATTTCAAGAATGTTATAAGATTTCTTGATAATCTAGGGTCTTTACTTTCAGCATTGATATGCCATAATGCCATCTGTATACCTTGTTGCTTGGTGAGGCTCATGACTCAAATGGTCTGATAGAACAATGTACCATTCAGAGTAACCACTCATATTCCCCGTTTTTGTGTTAAATCATTTAGAGACGCTATTTAATTATTATAGCCAACTATAGCCAACTACTGACAAGCAAGAGTGGGCAGGTATTAGGAAGGTATTTGGTGAGGAGTATTGGCCAGTCCATCGGGTGCAGAACGCCTAAAGCTCTAAGAGACGATGGGCGAAATCAGCCAGTAGAAGGTGTCTAATCTCTGGGTCCCAGGTCTTTTCACATTTAGGTATAGATCCCAAGAAATTCACGGCCTTTTTTTTGTTACTCATTGGCCTGCAGAGGCACATAGTGGGGACATAGATCATAAGTGCAAATTGCTATTTTGGCATAACTTTGATTTTAAGTGAAGCAGTGCTTAACAGGAGTTTTGTTAACCCCTTAAGGACCAAGGCCTTTTTTTCATTTCACCTATGTTGTGGCAGGTACATTTTAAGGTAATGCTGGGGGTCCAAAAGACCCCAGTGTCACCTCTACACTTGAAATAAGCTATTGAAGTGCAGATCGCACTTCAATAGCTTATTGCTGAGCTTCAGGAGTCCAGCACTGACGGCGTTTGGGACCAGAAATGATGCAATACCCGTCGCTCCCATATGACGGGGAGGGGGATCAGCGAACGTATGTTCTCCTCCCCAGCTTCCCACTGAAACCCGGCAAGACGGTCCTGGGCCCGTAGGAGGGGCTGAGAGCCCAGGAAACAAGGGGGGGGGGCCAGGGGGGGGGGGGGGGCAGCCCGGTTACCGGATCGTAGAAGCGATCTGGCGGCAGCTAAGCCGCCAGAATCACTTCTACTGTAAAGCCAGTCACCGGCTCTACAAAACGGAACAGACTCACAGTGGCTAAAAGCCGCCGAGAGTCTGTGTAACCCCTTTAGACTTCATGACGGGATTATCCCGTCATAGGTCGTGATGGGGTTAAAGAGATTTATCAAGCAGAATATGGTGCATACGATATTCTTTTGGGTAGCGTTCTTTTTTTAAAGTGCCCCATAGTGTATTTATTTTGTTGTCCTTTAACTCTTTCTCGTCATCGTGCTTCTGCTTACAGGTTGTCGATTCACATCTGGCCTGCCTGATGAACGAAAACAGTATAGATTACATCTCGCGCTTCAATGACCTGGCCCAGGAGCTTTCTGCTACAGACACTGTACGCCGCGAAATTCCATTTGAAGCTGGAGCCACTGGGAGTGAGCAGCCCATCCGGGACTTGTCGTAACTTTTAGGGTTTAACAGTCGGGAGCATTCATCCTCTATAACAGCAGCTAAATGAAACGGATAGGATCTGTTATACTATTCAGGTGTATTGGTCTATATGGGCCTGTACAGCTTAATCGGCTATAAATATTAAGCGTTGTTTTATAATGCAGTATTTACACTTCACGGGACTTGGTCACAGCACGTGACGGCTTTGTTTTGTCATCTGTGATGGCAGTTCAGGATGTACAGTAAGCTGACTGCACAGTAAGCTCTGAAATGGTTTGATTACCATTGTCTGTGTATGTGACGGTAAGCAAACTTCTGCAGTGACGGCCTAATGAAGCTGCTGTGTACATAGGAAGCTGTTTTTGTTTTTCTTTCGTTTCCATTGAGGGACACAGGAAGTGTTAACCTTCGGGTTATACTGATGCCTACTGGAGGATTGGGCACTGGTCAACAAAAACATTATAATAGAGCCCAGGATAACCCCTTCTACTAGCAGCAACCTTGTTTTTTGATATTTTCCTGCTACAGCTACAGTATAGCGCGAGCTACAGCTCGCGCTATACTGAGACGCCGGAGCAGATCCCGACGTAGATGATGGGATCCGCCCAGCTGCATGAGTGACAGCTGGCTCTGCCTATGTAGAGGCAGAGCCAGCTGTACCCGCCCCCTCCCCCGTCCGTTCCGCCAGTCAGCGCTGGCAGATCGGAGCAGGGAGAGGGGAATCCAGCCCTCCCCATGTCATGGCAGAGAGCCGTGACAGGATCGAGAGGTGGGCGAACCTGGTATGTGTTCGCTCACCTCCCGATCTACTGGGCCGACCTGTGACAGTCTCATTGTCACAGGTCGGCTAGAACTATGAGGTGAGTGGAAATCACTCATCTCATAGTTCTCCTTTAAGACCCAGAACTTCCCTTCTTCCTAATGTAGTTTCAGCTTTTCACCTCAACCAGGACATAGTTCTCCCATTCCTCTGTCTGGCTCCAGTTCACCGGAAGGAACTGATGTGCTTCCTTCAGATATGGTCATAGTCATTCTGTATGGTCCCCACAAAGGTGAACCAGCTTCTTGTTCCACTATTTCTAGGTGGCTTAGAGAGATCATTATTCAAGCTTATGGTTTTAACCATTGGGTTGCACCCTTTTTATGTCAAGGCACACTCTACTAGGTCTGTCAGTGCCTTTTGTGCTCTTTGACATGAGGCTACTGGTTTCCAGATTTGCTAGGTTGCCACCTGGTCTTCTGTGCAGGCCTCATCTGATGCCAGCTTCAGGAGTAAGCTCCTTCAGGCATCTGTTTGAGCTGCAAACACTTGGCAGTTCTGTTGGTTTTTTTTTGGTAGTTTGTTTGCTGTGTTGCTCACCCCTCAGTTGGACTCCTTATGGACATCCTAAAGGTTGACACTTCCTGTGTTCCTCAATGGACAAGAACAAAAATAAAATTGTTGTACTCACCGTAAAATCCTTTTCTTGGAGCCCATTTAGGGACCTGTATTTTATAATCATGCTCTTGGTATTGCTTTGCTAGAAAACTGAAGCCTACAGGTAGTGTGTGGGGATGTGAGGTTTTCCCTAAACTGGCTTACAATTTTTATTCTTTGACAGCATCCAGTCTTCCTGTATGTGCAAGCATAACCCAAAGGTTATCACTTTCTGTGTCCCTCAATGGATTTCAAGAAAATGATTTTACTGCGAGTCTAAAAATCCTATTTATTTATTATTATTATTTTTTTTGCTGACAACTCCTGTCGGCCTGCTCTGGTTTACCAACTCTGGTTGAACACACAAATGGGAGAAATCCCAAGACTCTGAAGACAATGTAAGCCATAGTGAACTTCATCCATTAACAGATGGGCTTAGTGCAAAATATGCAAATTCTTTGTGTCTTGTGTGCTACGGACATTTTGTTTTTATACCTATCGAAGGAAAAGTCAAGAGGTAAAAAAAATGTGCTTCTCACTTTGTACATTGCATTAGGAACCCTCTTAAGTGGTGGAGAAAAACATTCATGCACCTGTAATTGAACTTGCATTGACACATGGTTGCAAAAGGAAATTGTTGGTATTGGTGTAGGATTCACAAAACTTTGCATGCGTTGAGAGAGTTTAAGACGGCTGCCAACATTGCATTTGAAAGGAAGCTGACACTTTTGAACAATTTAAATTCAAATATTAGAAGATCAGAAGGGGATAAAATCACAATATGGAGAGAATCTAAACATGGTGCACAACTTAGTCACTATTGCCAGTTTGCATAATAGGTAAGATACCATTGCCACCCTTAATGCAAGGTCACCTAAATAGGTTTTACTTCTACATATATGTTGTGCAAGGGTAGACAACCGTGGCACTCCAGCTGTTGTGGAACTACAAATCCCATGAGGCATTGCAAGACTGACAGGTCTATTAACAACTACAAAGCCCATAGTTCCTTTGCAAGTCATGCCTATGATATACCCTTTTTCAACCATGACTTGCAGTGTCTGGGAGGTAATGTGTTTTGGTATTCCAAAATGATCAGATAATTTTTAATTTAACCGCTACTATCCACAGCTACTTACTTGCTCATCTTTCATTTCAGGCAGGAAGTGGGCTTTTTGCTCTCTGTACATGATTGTCACCTCTTCACAATTGTTTTTCTGATAAGCTTAAGTATACACACCGCAGGACATGAATAGCAACGTTAATACAGCGTATGCAGTTGGAAGTGTTTGTATATATGATGCCATTGAGACTGTAGCGCTGAGTCCTCCTGGCATGACGATAACCCTGATTCATCAAGCTGCAGGAGCACTTAAAGTAGAACTGAAACCAAAACTTAGAATAAGGAGGGGTCCTATGTCAGCTTTTTTGTTTTGTCATTCCCAATCTCCCATTGGTGAGATTTCTCTTCGCTTCCTGTCCCATAGCCACAGCAGGAAGTGAGAGGAAACCCCTCCAAAATGAGGAAAATCCCAGGTGGTCAGCAGGATGCCAAGGACTAGTGTCCCCATAGTAAGATTTTCTATTTTTTCCTGTTCTGGAGACTACCAAAAATCTGGGCTCTTTTTTTCACTGGATGGGTGAATAAGGGTCACCAGGACAAACAGGAGGGTGAATTTCCCTTAGGCCCCGTTTCATATGGGCTGATCAGGAAGGGGATCCAATCATGCATCCCCTCCTGATTGGAGCGATACGGATAGAATATCACCATTGTGACATCCGTGCCCCTCCAGTTTTTTTCCTCCATTTGCTAACTTGAACTCTTGAACTAAAACTGCTGGACCCCATGTTGGTCTATGGGGAGTGGGATGTAAACGGTGATCTGGCAAAATGGATTTCTGATCCGTTTCTTTTTCCAGAGCTGGCCGGAGTCAAGTTAACCGGGTGTTTACACCGATCTGCCCGTAGACTAGCATTGGGCATCCGATTGGGTCCACTTTAAAAAATGACAGTCTGACCACCTGTGTTAAAGGGGCCACATGGGGGACACAGACAGTACTAAAATCCTCGCAGAGGTTCTAATCACTCTGCACTCTAAAAGAAAACAAGAAAAAAAATGTTTGGCTTCAGTTGCACATTAAGTGGCCTCTCAGTCAGTGTATGTCATTTTAGCATGCCTTAAAGGAGAACTATGAGGTGAGTGATTTCCACTCACGTCATAGTTCTAAGCCGACCTGTGACAATGAGACTGTCACAGGTCGGCTCAGTAGATCGGGAGTTGAGGGAAAACATACCGGGTTCCCTCACCTCTCGATCCTGTCACAGCTATCTGCCGTGACAGGGGGAGGGGCTGGATTCCCCTCTCCCCGCTCCGATCTGCCAGCGCTGACTGGCGGAATGGACGGGGGAGGGGGCGGGTACAGCTGGCTCTGCCTCTAGATAGGCAGAGCCAGCTGTCACTCACGCAGCTGGGCGGATCCCGTCATCTAAGTCGGGATCCGCTCCAGGTGCGGCGTCTTAGTATACCGCGAGCTGTAGCTCGCGGTATACTGAGCATAGGGTGACGGGAGGACGCTAGTTTGTGTCCTCCCGTTACCCCAAGGAGAACTATGGGGAAAAACACTGACCCCATAGTTCTCCTTTAAAGCTGAACTACACGCTAACTGTGGCGGTTGAGGATTAGATTTAAATGTTTTTTTGCTCCTGGAGTTCAGGTTTAAGGTAGACATGTGCACCTGCAAAAAAATTGTTTCGATTCGGATTTTGCGTTATTTGGTTTTTCGGGATTCGGGTCCGAAAGTCAATTCGTTTCGGGATTCAGACGAAATTCGTTAGCAGTAGTCTTTCCGACTTTTCGTTTCGTTGCAGCAAAGCATTTAAAAAAACAAAAAAAATTTCCTCTCTAATGTCCCTTTGCTGCAACGAAAATTCGTCCACAACAATCGTGTAGATTACCGCTAACTTAGTTTTTGGAAATTCAGATTCGTTTTTATCCGTCATTTCTGTTGTTCGGAAATTCGGATACATCCGAATCTCCGAATGACGAAAATTTGTCTGAAATACGAAGTTTTCTGAAATGAACCGCACATGTCTACTTTGTCATTGCTTGATGGCACAATGAAGAGGTATTGGAAATATAAATTCCCCACCCGCACAACAAACAAGAATGCCTCCTGCCCTGGGTCAGAGCCTGGACACTATAGTTATGGTTGGTTAGTTTCTGTAATGTGACTTATCGCCTTAAAAATGGGGATGGTTAATCCTTCTAGTCAGCCATGCATTAACGAATACAGAATTTTAGGACTTTGTACATAATACGACAAAGCATGTTTAAACACTCATCCGATAAGCTTATTTGCTTCTCATAAAGGACAAAATTCCTTATGTTAGGTGATACCTTAGAACAGGTCACAATTGGCACGCTTGTTTCTAAAAACTCTTCGAGGGCTTCACTTTTCTCAAATGTACCATGGCACTTATTTTTATTATTATTATTTTTTATTATTAATATTATTATTTTGTCATATTTGCTTGGCT